GGTTCCAACTCCATAAACCCAACGGATTCTATGCTTTGCAAATGCTCCGAAGTGACGGTAAAGACAGTTTGATCCGGATCACTCGCTCTTTCAGACTTTGTCGAGCTTGATCTTCTTTTTAGCTTCGTCAACACTGGAGTCGCAAAAAACGTCGACTTACTCGAAAAGTTTATTTTATATTCTAGAGACAAAAACGCACGCTTTCAGTAAAACAAACACGTCGCACGTTAGCTGTGTTACGTCGGAATCACCCCGAAGTGCGAAGAAAAATCTTAACAAAAACTACGGGGCTGGATGCTACTGTAACGCAACTGGACCTAATGCTGTTGCGTTACACTACGAAGTTTGAGACCTAAGCGAAAACGTGCTTCTTCCAAAAGCCACCTCAAACCATCCACAAACGATACATGTAATTAACAGTTAAACTTTATTTGTACTATTAATGCATGACAATAATATCAACATAATTCATTTTATTAATAATTATAATAAATAATAAGGAATGGAGACATTCTTTATTTCAAACTACTGGTGTATTGCTGTTGTTAAAACGTCAGGTTTTCGAAACACACTTTAACTTTTAAAGCAATATGCACAGCAGGTATTTTAGGGAATGTATCACGGAGGAAATCCTTCTCGGTGAACAGAGATTGATACCAGAATAATCTGTTTTCTGCTGTTTACTGGTTATTCCGTGCAGGGGAACTGCAGGTGATGTGTTTCGGTTCCCACGGACAAGCTCAGAGGACGGGAGGGGCTGGAAGGTCATTTCGGGAAGGCGACGTCAGTCGGCAGAAAACACATTTGGAAATAAAATCGGAATTCTCTGCCCGGGTGAGGGAGAAGGGTTTTTCACATGCTTCACACTGAAAAAGATTCAAGAGGAAATATTCAGACATTTTTACTATTTGCGTATTGGTGCCTGGCAGCGCTGGGGCCAAAGGGTAAATTCCCAACCTTGGGTGTTATCTGCGTGGAGTTTGCATGGGTTTCCTCCGGGTGCTCCAGTTTCCTCCTACAGTCTAAAGACATGCTGGTAAAAGTGGCCCAGCGGTGACTGTGTGCCCTGTGGCGGACTGGTGTCCTGCCCAGGGTGTGTCCTGCCTCGTACACACTGCTGGCCACGCCAGGCTCTGGCTAACCTGAGATCTTGTACTGGCCAATGCGTTAGAAAATAGATGGTTGTTTCTCAGTGATGTACTCATCATCATACGTTACAAGATAGGTGTGACAGCTGTTTGAAACGCAAAACTTTCATACACGTAAAACGTAACGACGACAGCCAAACTCGTAGAACTCCCGGTAATGAACGCTGTTTTGTGAATTGAATTACCAACCTTGACGATGTGAAACCCCGCCGCCTTCCTGGTTTCAATTACTGCTGGAATGTGATCGGAATTTTCAATATTCCACAGCCGCAGGGTTGAGTCCTGGAACAGCAGCAAGACAGAGTGTTTCCACAAGCAGAAGTTACCAAAGTGCCGTTTACTATATTGATAATCCAACCGA